CGTATTAAATGTAGATTGAAAATCTAAACACATTATAAAATTCTAAACTGTCTGAATTTTCTATAAACAAATTTTGTAATGTTTTTGGGATTTGTTTTTGTAAATTTATCTCAGGTACAGGTTCTGCTGCAATAGTTCCTAACCATGTAATGATTTCGTCTACAGCTGATATAGAAAAAGGATCAGAGAACTCTCAATTTAAGAATGTTTTGATCCCGTCTTCATTATTTTCGCAAAATTTTGTATAGACACAACGTAATGCAACTTCGCCAATGCTTTTAAATCCATTCACGCAGCCATTCACGCAGGTGTGCGTTCGGTAAATTAGATAACGTGACTAGCAGATGATAAACGCAGTGGATGCGCTAACCGCTGCATAAACGAATGCACCCTAGGGGATATGATAGTTTTCCCGCGTTTTTAATGACACACGACATATTATAGTGCATTATAATCAATTACAATTGAAATCAGCTGATATTGTGAAAGAAGAGGGTGAATTACTGAGGGTTCAAAGCGTTTGCTTAATGCGCAGACGCAACTTTATTCCCACGACAGCGCATCACTGCCTATAATACTTTAGTTTTGATCACTTTTGAACAGCAGTCGACGCGCCGCCGTTTTGGGTTGATCACATATGTTTCATAACAGTCTTAACCAGTCCTCGTCCTTGGCTCTGTTAGAATAGTTTGTGTTCTAGTATAAAATTAGGATTTTTGGATACGAATTCTGCTTTAAGAAAAGGATTTATACCAGAAAAAAGTTGCTGTGAAAACACTCTTACATCCATATTCGATTCACTGTTCAACGGCTTATCATGTTCAAGGTAAAGATATGAATCTCTATATAGCTTTATAAAGTTCTAAAAATATTGAATTGTTGCAATTTGTGCTTTATTCTATGATTCTGCATCTTTTTTTTACTTTGCTCATTTTATTATAAGTAAATATTGCGAAAGTAGAAAATGGAAAGGCCATTGCAAGTAGAGTGGAACAGTTGTATTTATATGAAAGAAAAATCATACAAAATTTGTATTTTGTAGTCGATTTTCATAGATTGTTGTTTTCTTTTCAGACCGTCGTAAGAACTGTTGGCCGCCGTTCGTTTTCCACGTCGAAATGGGTAGCGGCACAGCAGGTGATTTATTTTACCGTAAATCTAACCTAAAACTACATCTTTTGACATATTGCGAGGCCATAACTTTAACTCTTGCGGATGTTTTCATATTACTTGACAGTTTTCTCTTGCTTTTCTTTGTTTATCCTAATTGAGTATTTTTTTATTGGTGATTATTCGCCATAATGGAAATTTCAAGGTCATAAAAGGTCATTCATTTGCAGCTTGGTATTTTCTCATAGAAATTTTTGTAAATGTGTTAGATGACTGTACGAGATGCTTTAAACTCAGCCCTGGATGAGGAGATGGAGAGAGATGAGAAAGTATTTCTTCTTGGCGAAGAAGTGGCTTTGTATGATGGTGCGTACAAGGTCTCTCGAGGTCTCTGGAAGAAATATGGAGACAAACGTGTTATTGATACACCAATTACGGAAGCTGGTTTCACTGGTATTGCAGTTGGAGCTGCAATGGTAAAGTAATCATATTAACATTATCCTTATTTTTATATACGATACTAATACATTATACTCGTACATTAGATAACTAATACATTATATTAATATAATTTACAGGCCGGCTTGAGACCAGTTTGCGAATTTATGACGTTTAATTTCTCGATGCAAGCGATTGATCATATTATCAATTCTGCAGCTAAGACGTTTTATATGTCTGCGGGCAGAGTTAATGTGCCAGTTGTGTTTCGTGGTCCCAATGGTGCTGCTGCAGGTGTTGGAGCACAACATTCACAATGTTTCGGCGCATGGTACAGTCACTGCCCTGGTTTAAAGGTAGTGTCGCCTTACAATAGCGAAGATGCCAAGGGTTTGCTGAAGGCAGCGATTCGAGATCCCGATCCAGTAGTGGTACTTGAAAACGAGATATTGTACGGTGTACAATATCCTATGTCAGACGAGGCTCTGTCTAAAGATTTTGTCTTACCCATTGGCAAGGCTAAAGTAGAGCGGGTGGGCAACCACGTGACGTTGGTAGCACATTCCAAGGCTGTCGAAGAGTCGCTTGAAGCGGCTAATGAACTCGCTGGAAAAGGAATCGAGGCTGAAGTGATAAATCTTCGTTCTCTCAGGCCACTAGACATCGACACTATCATACAATCTGTAGTGAAGACAAAACATCTGTTGACTGTCGAGCAGGGTTGGCCACAATGTGGCATCGGCGCAGAAATCAGTGCAAGGATTGCCGAAAGTAAGTTTCATTCTTCCATTATTGGCTTGTATTTTACTTGTATTAACTTTTGTTGATGTGAAATGAGATAATCAGACAATCGAAATTAGAGTTAAACACAAAACTAAATTATAAATAAAGGTATTTGATTTCAAAAATAAATTTAGCAATTAATTTTATTCTATTTCGATGATGGCATTTTCTATGTTTGCTTAATAGAGTAATTTTTTTTTCAGGTGAAGCCTTCTATCACCTTGATGCTCCCGTAATACGTATCACGGGAGTTGATACGCCTATGCCATATGCGAAATCGCTGGAAATCGCGGCCTTGCCACAAATTAGAGACATAGTGAATGCTGTTAACAAAGTACTAGGTGTCACGCAGTAATCAATTATACGCGAATATTTAGGTGAAATTACTATATTTCTACAGCTTTCCTAATACATCACAGTTCCTCTCCTTTTCCCATTTAATTCGCCATTTGTTTAGCTGGTATATTCTATCTCTTTTATCTCTAACGTTGAATCACACACATTGATAATAGTAAAACGAGTACAGAGATAAATAAGAGAAAGCAAGTATGTACAAAGTCTCGATTCTGTATAATATTCAGTCGTCCTAGATAGAATACTTTGGAAATATTTCTTTATAAGTTTTATTTGTGGAACTCTTACAAAGAAATGCGTTTTAAGAAAAAAATCTGAACGTTTATTGTAATATATAAATGAAATTTTAAGTATATTTCTTAGCGCAAGAAATGTGCAATAATATGTATTTTATTTATAGAATATTGTAATTGTGATTGTATATATACGTACATATTTTAATAGTTAAATTATTTAAAACGCTGAATTTAATTATGCAATATATAATTACATTTTGTCGAAAAATTATAATCCATTTTATTAAGATTTGTATTAGATTGAACAAAATTGGAATTAAGTTAATGATTATGAAATAGTAAGCCCATATCAACCTGCTGCCTACATTTACTGCCGTATTTATATAAAGTGTGCCGATCACTTTGTAGAGTTTCACATATCTGTCAAAAATCTCAGTAACTTATAGGAAAATATTAATAGTACAATTAATGCAATTGTATGCTTATTACCGCGTATATACGTATATTTAACTGCAAAATTACAGACAGCGCGTAGGTGCTGCATTTGTTTTTAGTTATTTATTACAGAAAATTAATAAATTCTATTGTATAATTTATCAACTTTATCTCTCACTTATACCTTCTAAATATATATTTGTATAAATTTTTTTTATAGTTATGTATGATACATACGTAATAGGCAGCATGTAACTACTGTCATGTAACGTTCGAATGCATCTCTTAATTCTCCTTCTCTATAATTAAAATTAAATAATTAATATTTTTCAAGAAAAAGATTGTAATGTAAAACTCGCATTTGTTAATGCATTGTTATATAAATGACTGTAATTCTTACCTAAGTACATCCATATCAAGAGCACACTGTGTATAAACAGATAAGAAATTCCGTAGATCAGAGTGTGTCCAGTTGACTTGTCGCCAGGGTTCGATGCATCTTTCCACTAGTTCTAAGAAGAAAAATCTCAATTCTCGCGATCTGTGCAAATTACATCCAATTGCGAGTATTGCTCTCGAATACGAACGAAAGTTCATGTCCAGTTCTTGATAAGATCGATCAAGAAGCATTGGTTTGAGTTTAAGACACACTAAACTGAAATATATAGAAGTTTGCTCTATTACTTTTGCGATAAGTAAACAACGTTGTTATTAGTATCATTTTTATCAAGTTTAACATACTGTTTGTGATGTTTGTCGTTTTCTAAAAGCACTCTACATTCTGATAATTCCTGTAGAAATTCTCTATCCAAATCCGTGTCGAAGTATTCGGATCCAACACAGCGATATGTCCATGAGGACATCATGCTGTTAGCGCAGTGATATAGATCAGGAAATGTTAGAAATTGCAGTTTTCTCTTGTTCATCTCAAATCGCAGACATGCTATAAAGACCACTGCAGCGTATCGTCTAAATAACAACAGAAAAATAGCTAATTATAAATAATTTATGTGAATTGTACTTATATTCTCGTTATAATCATGAATTTATGCTAAAACAAGTATTTTCATAAAGTAACACTACACATACTTAGCAAGATCCTCAGAAAGTAAAAAGTGTTGTTTGACGTTAGTTGCAAGAGAACCTGGCAAGTCTTCTACAGTTTTAAACACTCTCCTCACATTATCATATTGTCTTCGGCAGCTCTTCAACGTAACTCCTGTCTTCTCTGCCACTTCATCCATATCCTTTCTACTTTTGGATGTTATCTTTTTCCCTAGTAATTCACGTATAACAACATCATCGAATTCATAATACCTAAGTTAAATGTTTGTGTTAGTCCGATAAGAAATTAACAATAATAGTCAAAGATTTTATATCAAATTCTTATGTTTACATTTCTATAAGCATTTGACTAGTTTGTGGTTCTATTTGGAAAGCCAGTTGTTCGCTGGCAAGTTTCGTAGGAGTATGGAGCAGTTTTTCAAGAAGAGCATAGGTGCGATAATGATCAAGTATATCAGATGCCACCAGCTCGAGTGGTGCGTTAGTTTGCTGACATATTCCTCGCTGCTCCAGAATATTAACTGCATCATTGGCTATAAAAACATTCATTATATTAGTAATGAATCCAAATTGCAGTCTGTAAATAGAAGGCTATATTTTTTTACTTACAAGAATGTCCATCGACCCAAAGTTGGTAGATTTCAGGATCGACTAAGGTGTAGTTGCTGATAAATACGTCAACCTCCGACAACATGAAGTTATGGTTATGCTGTCATCATACAATTATAAACAGACACAACATTAATACAAAAGATATATTAATATCTATTTGATATATTCTTTTTTATATCATATTTTCTATTAAAATTCTACTTTTTTGTCGATCCAAAATCCAAGGAAAAATTTATTGTCATATATTTAATCACGTACTTAGTCTATTTTTAGGTTATTGTCACATACCTCTGTATCAGTGATGCGCTATCGTGGGATTTTTTCCCGTACGGAACCTCCGTGCGCATGCGTAAGCTGACGTCACAGCTAGACGTTGGCTGCTACCACAGATGTATCTAGGTGTACTATAGGGGATATGATAGTTTTCCCGCGTTTTTAATGACACACGACATATTATAGTGCATTATAATCAATTACAATTGAAATCAGCTGATATTGTGAAAGAAGAGGGTGAATTACTGAGGGTTCAAAGCGTTTGCTTAATGCGCAGACGCAACTTTATTCCCACGACAGCGCATCACTGCTCTGTATACTCTCGTCTGTTCTCGCCGTTATATGCCGCTAGGTGCTTTTCACGCTGCGTTTGGCGCTCAATTTCAGTGCTAAAAGACATCATGTAATCTAATATTGACATTAATTAATATTTTTTTAACTTTAATATTGACATTTTAACATTAATCTACATTTTATTCATTTTTATGCTTTAGAATCTTATATCATATCATTTGGTAAGTCTGTAACTTTACTGCAATGTCTTGAAAAACTTAGATTTTTTAATACTAGACTCGCCAAATAAAGTAAGATTTTAAAGCATAAAAATGAATAAAATGTATATTTTAATATTTTAAGTCATTTTTAAAATTCTAGGTACTTGTAATACGCACTTTAAATGACAAATTCTTCTTGCATATCTACGACAAGCCCAACGTCACTAATAACACCTTGTATAGTGTGTGATCCTTTGTCCAATTTCTTTTGATTTTTTTAATTAGTCATTCCATAATTAGATCTTTCAGCTATGTGTAATAAAATAAAAAGTTAATAACAGAATTTAATATAGTATACTTACATAATTATCAAAAGTAATTTTAAAAGCAATTATTTACAAATGAGTAAATACGCCACACAACCATAAATAAAATGATTAAAAATACTATTTCTACATGTCATTCCAAGACAGCACACATGTCCAAAATACATCCAAAGGATGTAGAAATATATCTAAAGGATACCCAAAGGACGTCCTATCGTCTCAAAAACGTCTTCTGCGGATATCCTCTGGACGTCTTTTGGATATGCTGTGCTGTCTAACCTATTATATAGAGATTCTAACCTATAAAACTAGCAAACCAAGCTGATAGCAACTATTTCGCGTTGTTATGCGAAGTATCGAAAGGATTAATTTTGTTTTTACAATTGATATCTTTCAAATAAATTACCTATGATAAATAATTCTGGCCTTATCAGATGTGCTAGACTCTTGCTTTTCGTACGACACTTGTTCGCTGCACTTTTCCGTGAAAGATTGACAATCTTATCGATCCATGTATCCCGAGCGATTCCGAACATGTGCCGAAGTTGACCGATGCCACATCCATGTCGCAGATCATATGTTTTATGTAGGTCAATGCCTCGATGTCTAGCAAGTGTCTAGGCCGTAGGATAAAAATAGCTCTATCGCATTCCGCGTGCCGCGTGCTTCCGCGTGCCGCGTCTATTTTTAGATCACGCACCTGCTGGATTTTCAAAACGTTATAACTTTGTGAAAAATTGACGTAGCGACCTGCGACAAAAACGGATCTTCTCGATTTTTCATGCTGCAAATGTTTATGTACACTGCACATGCTCTTATCATGACACACATAAATGTATATATATACCTATATTAGGTTCAAATAGTTGAAACATTTTATATATACGAATTATTGAAATATGTAAATATGTTTCTTTGATGACTGGTCAACTCAATTAATCTTGATACTGCTCGTATATCTCGATGCATCGGTGCATTGCGACATACAACGTCGCAACATAGTATTATCGGTATCTATATACGCGCACATTATAATAATATATATTATATAATAAAGAGAAGTCTAAAATTCGAATTTTTGTGATTATTTTGTACCCGAAAAGCGTGTACGCGACGATGAGTTTTTTCGAAACAAAAATGTACATTTTATTAATTTTTATGCTTTAGAATCCTATATCATATTATTTGGCAGCTCTAGAACTTTACTGCGATGTATTAAAATCTTATGTTTAAAGAAAGATATAAGATAGAAACATATACAAATGTATAAAATGTACATTTTAACTTTTTAGATCATGTACCTGGCATTATTATCCGTAAATAAGCCTCGAATTAAAATCGGTACTTGATTTCGAAGTACAATTGTCAAACGAAAAGGCCATACGTTGTTACGCAATAATATAGTTCTACGCATGTCATGTTATCTTATGCTTAATTAAAGTAATCACCGGACTTTGGAGTGAAATAATACAAACGTGCGCATGCACATATAATACATACACACAAATAGGTCTATTGACTGCAATTCGCGTGATTGATTGATAGGGGAAGTGCAGCAGCGATCGAAATTGTTACTGTATTCGCAAACTCGCACCCGCATTTGCGCGGACGCAATTAATTCGCGACGAAGCAATGTCACGTAACGTTAAACTCGTTATCATGCGGGAAATGTGCGTTAACCAGCTACGACTGTCAATATGAGCAAATAAATATTGTAGTAGTATAACAAAACCTGGCAAATTTTGTCTTAATTAAGTGTTAATAAAAATCTTGTACAAGAGAATAATAATATTATTCTGGCCGACTACACATCAAGAAATATATACGGTGGAATTTATGTTGTAAATCAAATTTCAACGTTTCTGCAACTCTAATTGTAATACAAATTTTTTTGTTATAACTTATATTCAAAATTCAGTTTTTCCGAGTCTTCCATTTTTTCGATGTCTGTATTCTGTCCTTAATTTATAGATTTTTTTATCATGTATATCTTCTTCTTTTGTCCGTGAGTTGTCTTCCGCTTGCATTTTTCAGATTGCCGTCAACATCATTAGAGATATTCTCTATTTTATTATAATAATTGTTTGTATAAAATGTAGAATATCTAAAGATGTAAAACATTTATTTTTTGATCATTTTATTTTAATATTTTTATATGTCTGTCTTGCTCACATCTCGAAGCTCTGTTTGTGAACAGGTGTGTTATTGGTACGTCGGATCACTGTTCTAACATGTTGTGCCGAGCGGTGTTTGCGCGTGCAGTCGTTGAGCTCGTTCCTTGTTAAATAAATTTTCTATATTTTTTTATTTTAATGTATTTTTAATATTTTCCATGTAACCTAAACTCTTTTCTTTCTTTCTTGTATTTTGTTATACTGAAAAGAGTAAAAATTGTAATCGAAATTGTGGCCAAAACGTACATGTATTGTTTTTGAGAAAAAGCACGTTACATTGTGTATTATTATAATGTTGCAATATCCACTCAATATTAAAATTAGAAGTATGAATAAATGCTATTTCTTAATAATGAAAGTTCGATCAATGGCAAAGATCATGGCAGAGTGAAGATCGGGTAGATTCGCATAAGTAAAGATTATGCCATCTTGTTGCTGTTATCAAAACATACATTTTTCTCGAAAAGTCACGGTAAACTATTATTTCCCTGTTGCATTTAATGTCTTTAAAGACATACTTGATTTTGATCTTGTGGCACGATGCCATTCCCATTGTCTCTTCCTCTGTCTAGTCTTTATTTTCTTTTCCATTTCCTCTCTCGCCTCTTCACTTGTCGCGTAGTGTTCTCTTCACTATCCTCTTTCTATTCCTTTTCTTCCTTCTCTTCACTGCTATCGTTCGCCGTTTCTGTGTCTGTCTCCCGGAAGGAGGAAGAAAGCGCTCCAGGAAATTCATTTGCAGAGACATGGCATCGTACAGCAAAACACGAATGATATATTTACATGGCGTCGAGGGAGAAACTGGCGAGATGGATTTACCCGGGAAAGGTTTATCGAGCGTTACGTGAGGGGGGAAACACGAAATGTATTTTTTGAAAGAAATGCGCTAATCCACTCTCGAAGCCGTGCGGAAGTTCGTTCGTAGTTTTTGCCTTCATCCGTCCCATGAATTCTCTCGGACTGAGTTTTCAGGCTTGTGGTTGAAAAATGTGCGACGTGAGGTTAAGCACAACTTATTTCAACACTTAATAGATCTTTTGATGTACAAACATAAAATATCAAAAATAAAATCTATATTAATCTCTGTGCACCGTATCATAACATTAAAATTATCCAAATTTGATTACACAGTAAATTTTATAGCGTATTATCTATATTTTCATATACATTGTGAACAAAATAAAGCGAATTTTTACCTAAAAAAATAATATTTCTAGAGAAAATTGTTTTAAATAAAAATTGTTGAATTTTAAGAAGGGCGTAAAAGAACGTACATAAATATTTGCAACGCTTTATTTTGTTCAGTCTGTATATTTAATATATCTGTTAAAAAGTTCATTATTCTAAACTTAGAGGGACAATTAAAATTTTAATAAGATCTTCAACAGCAATATTGTTTTTAATTGAATCTAGATTAAATAAATTATATTATGAGTTTATATATAAAGGAGGATTGAAATATGAAAAATCCATCTTGCCAATTTTGCATATTTAAACAGTGTCACAAAAAAGTCGATCGATTTTTCACAAATATATACTTATTTTACGTTTGATGTAAAGTATAAAGTTCTGTGAGGAAGGAACAAATGTAATAATAATATCAGCTTTTGAGAGCTTTCGGTATAATAAACCGTTTTCATTTATCTCGACGTGTCAGCTACGTTCAGCATTTAGCATCATTTAATAATATACATATTTATCAATGTTATAATATTTATCAATGTTATAATCGCTTGTATTTACATCTAGAGTGATCACTATTTTATTAGTTGTTGCAATCGTGCCCGCGAATTAATCGTCAACAAAAAGATGAGGGTGTTAAATTTTATTTTAACAATTAATAAATTCTATCGATCACGCGTGTCACTCTGGTTAAATTAAACACAAGACGGGATTGATATAATAGTTACAAACTGTGTAAATAGTTTTGTGAATAATTTCTGATGATACTGAAAATACTGTATGGTTTCTAGTGCATTGTATGTCGTGTCAGTTGGAAATTGTTGCTATTTCTTAAAGAAATACTTATTAAGTAATTTTATTATACAGTCTTAAAAATAGAAGATATTTTAAATGTAAGTGTTACCGTTGACGTGCAAAGTTCAATAGCAAACTTAGTGCCATAAACTAGTATTTATAATTAGATACGTTTAAACATCTTTTATAAGATGCTTGATTAGGGAATAATTGAAAAAATTAATAATATTTTATTCCTTTAATTTAATTTAATCGAATTATATCTATTTGATAAATTTAATCGTATGCATTCATCAGGAGTCATATTATTAGTGATAGAATAATATCATCTACGGATTTTTCGAAACGACGGTAATTTGAAGCCGAAGATAATGTTGTTCATTTCACTGTAAAAGAGAGATTGAGCTTGAGATAATTATTTAAAATTAAAAATTGCTTTTTTCTTATAATTTTCTGTATAAAAAATAAATTAAAAAATATATGTGCCAATACAAATTTTACTACAAATTAGTACATTATTATCATGTTTCATGACTAGAAAACGATCTGTCAGAATTGTGCCGTCTTTACATTTTCGTTAGGACATTTTCAATGAAGATTCGTAGTGAAAATAGCAGAAACAGCAGTCTTGTATCATCAGACGCAACAGGGTCCGCATACGGTAAAAGTCGTCGTCAAAATAGCTCAAGAGTTCACTCGCTACCGGCTCTGTATACGTACAACGAGCACACAGGGATGTTGAAAACTATCTTAAAACACGTAATGAGTCCTGTTCACAGTTCGGTTTGTCTTAATTTACATTTTAATTTTCCATGATAGCGTAAGCGTTTGCGCAAGCCAATTACATGGCTTTGGCAATCAATTTAAGAATAAGGTTTAAGGCTCCTGGTCCCGTAGCCGTGAACTCCGCGTTGACAGTGGCGACATAATTGTGGTAGGAATAAAAACCTAGTCGAATTTACCTAGTCGATTTATTGTATAAGTAAATAGTGTAACAGTTTGACCTAATCAATTGATACGATAAAAGTAAATTACTGAATAACATACAAAATGCTAATTTATAATTCAAAAATCTGTTTACAAAAAAATAAACGCGATAAATACAGAATATAGGGCGGTATTCATAGTCCGTTCTTATATTCAAAATCGTCTTAAGCACGGACTTATATTCGCTCTCTTCGTCACACATAGATTGTGTCTGACGAAGAGAGCGAATATAAGTTCGTGCTTAAGACGATCTTGAATATAAGAACGGACTATGAATACCGCCCTATGAATACCGGCCATATATAGCTTAGTACCGTTACCGACATGTCCATATGACAGAAATTCTCATGCAGCGTCTTAGGTGGAGAATCGATGAACTATTAGACGTGAAAAAATGACATGTTGACTACCCAATTTATTCTTGCGTGCCATTTCGTTAATATTCGTTAAATGTTAGTGCTGTGATATGTGATGTGTTCATGAAACCTGTAAAATTATCCGAAAACTAAGATTAGCAGGGAAAGCCCAACGTAGAAGGAGTATTTTCTACTCATACAGACAGCTGTCAACCGTGTGTTTTCTCGCATAATTAGGCTTCGCTTCACGGTTGATTTAACGATTGTTTATAACCTGTCAAGGAAAAAGCATAGTTTTCGGACAATTTTACAGGTGTCTTAAAGCGATCTAGAGTGTTACTTTGTTAAATTATCATTTTATTTAGAAATGGCACGCAAGAATTCTCGGCGTGTCATTTCTCGCTTCTGACGTCACGAATCTAATATGGCTGCGGTGACTACCCAGGAGCCTTAAAGAGGAAATATACTGTATTCTGCCTCGGATAGATAGAAACACACTATTGTTGCATCACGTAAGTTCACGTTTTATCGCGTTTTATCGCGTCGTATTTCTACATCCTTGTCAAAGAATCGCATAATATAGCGATTATACCCGTTTTCTGTGAATAGAATAAATAAAAAGAGGACAAAAATGTATTATTTGTTATAAAAGAAAAAAATGCCTTTTTAATATAGAAATAAATTTATAATTTTACAACATATTGTATGAACAATCGCGTTTTATATGTATCTCTAGGAATAGATCTTATATACTGATATTATTTGACATAATCTGTTCTCGCGATTCAAACTGTTTGGCAAACAATGAAGAAGAATGATTATATCAAAAGACATAATATTATAGAATTTATCGGCGAATTGCACATTATAGAGATTATACTTTGCAGAATAGTACATGAACAAATGCATCATATAAGATCTATGGGCGGTATTCATAGTCCGTTCTTATATTTAAAATCGTCTTAAGCACGGACTTATATTCGCTCTCTTCGTCACACATATAGCGTTTTCGATTATACAGGATTTGAACGACCCAGGGTTGGTTAATGACGTCATTGCAACCTCTCCACCAATGAAAGACTTGCATTTATAGTAAAATAGTGATTGATCAACCCTGGGTCGTTCAAATCCTGTATAATCGAAAACGCTAATAGATTGTGTCTGACGAAGAGAGCGAATATAAGTCCGTGCTTAAAACAATCTTAAATATAAGAACGGACTATGAATACCGACCTATGAATCTGCTTTATATTAATGTTACTATTTATAGTGCGGCATAATAAAGCGAATTCGTGTGACGTGACAATAGTGTATCCTTGGCGTTAATCGCCATCGTATAATCTCGGCGCGGTGATCATTGTTCTCGTGTACTTCCGCGCAATCGATCTGTTTGTATTCGAAACGAGATGGACGGATGCAACATCCCGGCAAGTTCGGACTCACGGTAATTAAACGCGAGTGAAAGTCTTGGACGGGGTGACGTGATGTTCTTAGTCGTGGAATCTCGTCTTCTCACACTGAGGGTAGTGGTCCAGCCACCCTCTGTACGACATTACATGCAACCGCAAGCCTCTACCACCATGTTCGGCAATGTTTTCTGCGTGATCGTGTTGTTCGTGTCGATGTAGAGCAGTTGGAGCGGAGCGAGCTGCGTCGGTGAGCAGCACGGTACTATCTTGCTCTTCTGTTGTCCAATGTCTCTGGCCAACAACTTCTGTAAAGATAAACGACATTTTTCAACTTATTAATTCCCGGTGATTTGGCCCAGTCAGATGAGTTTATAACTGATAAACGCAACTTTATTATCAAATTCCCAAACAATTTTTACTTATGAAATAAAACGATTGTAAAGATAAATTAGTGAATTAAAAGTTATAGTACACAATTTTTTTCTTATAAGAAGTTTTTTATCGCACATACCGCACTTATTAGTTTCGAAATTAATTAAATTTTTTTTGTTTTTATGCTTAAGGCTCCTGGGTAGTCACCGCAGCCATATTAGATTCGTGACGTCAGAAGCGAGAAATGACACGCCGAGAATTCTTGCGTGCCATTTCTAAATAAAATGATAATTTAACAAAGTAACACTCTAGATCGCTTTAAGACACCTGTAAAATTGTCCGAAAACTATGCTTTTTCCTTGACAGGTTATAAACAATCGTTAAATCAACCGTGAAGCGAAGCCTAATTATGCGAAGAAAACACACGGTTGACAGCTGTCTGTATGAGTAGAAAATACTCCTTCTACGTTGGGCTTTCCCTGCTAATCTTAGTTTTCGGATAATTTTACAGGTTTCATGAACACGTCACATATCACAGCACTAACATTTAACGAATATTAACGAAATGGCACGCAAGAATAAATTGGGTAGTCAACATGTCATTTTTTCACGTCTAATAGTTCATCGATTCTCCACCTAAGACGCTGCATGAGA